TCATGAGCATCACAGGCAGGGTGCTGCTGAGGCTGGAAAAGAGCATCAAAATTCCAAAAGGAGCTCTCAATGAAATTATCCATAGGCATTTCACAAAATCTGAAAAATTAACCATCATCTATAAATATCGACAAATTACAAATTAGTAGCAGTAATGATGTACACGATGTACAGTGTAGCTGAATCACAATCACCCCCAATTTTTATGACATTTTCTGATACACCCTTATGCTATGTAGAAAGTTTGAGTTGATTCCAAATTCAATGTTACGAGTTGTGGCCATTTTTGAATGGGCCATTTTCTGAAGAACGCCCTGTGCTATGGGCCAATGGTTTTTTTCAAAAATTAGCTTCAAAAATCACTATTAAATTTTCTGATGCATATTGATGTCCTTATGCTACATGTATATGTATGTACAAGTACAATGTTTGAGCTGTTTCTGATACATATTTTTCAAGTTATGAGCATTTTTTAAAATATTTTCCAAAAAATGGCTCCAAAATCATCCCCAATTTCTATTAATTATTTTCTCGTGTAAATTGATGTTCTTATGCTATGTAGTAACTTTGAATTGATTCTGAGTCCAATTTTTCCAACTTATACTATAGCTTATATTTTTTAAATTGGGCCATCTTCTAAAAGAAATGCCATGTACATGTACAGTGTACTATAGCCCATGGTTTTTTCTGAAAAATGGCTCTGAACAATTTTGATTAAATTTTTTGATACTTATTGTTGTACTTATGCTATGTAGGAATTTTGAATTGTTTCTGACAAATAATTCTCGAGTTACGAGCATTTTAAAAACAAGGAATTTTCACCAAGCTGTACATGTGAAATGCATTACTAATAATATTAATGAAAGGCTCACCCCATCTCAAGGATTTCGGTCCTAACTTTAAGCAATGGATGGAGGTGACCAGTGGCAAGAGGAGCTCCTAGTGCATTGAAATTGTAAGACTTGAATTCTTCATTCTTCCATGAACCACTAGAACAAAAGAATCAAAATAACAAAGGAACATTATAAATAAGTACATCTAGTGAATTAAAGTACATTGTACCCTTACATGTACATCTGTGATTACAAAAGGTATTAATGCATGTACACACACATGTACATGTATATATTATACATGTACATGTATTTTATTTGAGGAAATACAGTACATGTACATGTATGTATACAGGGTACATGTCCTTATGCTGTGTATCAACTTTAAGCTGATTCCAGTCAAATTTGGATTTTTTGCATGCATACATTGTAAATGTCACTTTACAGCGTTCATTGTACATATTAGGAAATGATGTACATGATTGGTAATAGCAAAGTGTGTGGTGTCTGGTATTGCTGTTCTAACTAAAGAGCCAAACAATATAGTCATGTGACTTGGTACGGCACCAATCGGATAACAGCAAAAACATAAACACATATATACATGTACATGTACATGTACATGTGAATAATAGAAATCATGAACTTACTTCTGTATCATTTCAGCAGTAAGCTCTGTACTCTTCTTACTGATGCTAGTCGTAAAGCTAGGACCCTGTGTGATTATGTAACTTTTTATTATACTATAAAGAGAGAGGGGGGAGAGGGGGGAGAGAGAGAGAGAGAGAGAGAGAGGGTGGGAAGAAAACAAAAACAGAGCCAATAATAAAAATGCAAAATTATTTAAACTGACGTGTTACAGATGAGCTTCCTCTTCTTAAATTCCTTCAAATTCTCATCGGACAGTTCTCCCCTCCCACTCTCACCTTTGAGGGAACACAATAACTTACGGACAGTATCAGTCACTGACTCCACCTACACAATTAATTAATTCAATATAGTAGCTAATAGATTACTCATTATATAAATAATTTCAAAATTTAATACAATATAATAAATATAAAAATATTATTTTATTTATTTATTTTTTATTTATTTTATTTTAATAAAATAAATATAATACAATGTATAACTTAAATAATAATTTTTAATAAAATTAATACCGTATAGCGGGAAATT